TCCTTCGTGAAGCCCACCCCACCCAACCACTCCACGGCCTTACTGGTGGTACGGGTGGCCACTTCGCTGGCGTAGTACTTGGCCATCGAGGCCTCCTTCACGAACGGCATACCCGCGTCCCTGAGTCGGGCCGAGTTGTACACCAGGAGGCGGGCCGACTCGATCTCAGTGGCCGCGCGACTGATCTGGTGCTGGAGGGCCTGGAAGTCGAAGATCCGGCGCCCGAACTGTTTCCTATCAAACGTGTATCGGACGGCCTCCTGGAAACACCCCTCCGCCAGCCCCAGCATTTGGGCGGCGATACCAATGCGGCCGACATTCAGCGTCTGTATGGCGTATTTGTAGCCCTGGCCCACCTGCCCGACCACATTGCACTCGGGCACCCGTACGCCGTCGAGCGTCACCGGACAGGTGGACGAGCAACGGATGCCCAGCTTGTTCTCCGGGCGCTCGACAGTGAGCCCCGGGGTGTGCCGGTCGACGATAAAACAGGTGATTCCGCGGTGGCCGGCCCGGGGGTCGGCGTTGGCGAACACCACAAACACCTGCGCCTCCTTGGCGTTTGTGATCCAACTCTTGGCCCCATTGATCACCCAATGGTCGCCCTCTCGGGTGGCGGTAGTCTTCAGGGCGAAGGCGTCGGACCCGGCGTTCGGCTCAGAGATGCAGAAACTGCCGGCGCTTCGCTGGGCCAACACCGGGAGGTATCGGCGCTTCTGGTCGTCGGTGCCGAACGAGATGAGCGTCTGGACGGCGAGTGTCGAGTGAATGCCAACGAACGCCGAGACGGAGGCGCAGGCTTTGGCCAACTCCTCGATGACCACCATTAGGGAGAAGGTGTTGCCTCCCGTCCCCCCGTAGGCCGTGTCGATGTTGACGGACATGAGTCCGTTGGCGAACAGGGCGTCGATCACCGACTGGTCCATGACTGCCGACTCGTCCATCTGGCGGACGAGTGGTCGCACCTTCTCGTCGGCCAATCGCCGCACTATGTCTCGCATCGCCTCCTCGTCGGTGGTTAACTGAGTCAACGGCGCCGGCAGTTGGCTCTGAACGGCGAGGGTGTCCTCGTTTAGAGGGGCCGCCTGAGTACAGCACGACAGTTGGCGCCGGTATGCGGCCGATAGCGGGCTACCGGTGCGCCGGAGTATGGTTTGAGAGCATTGTCTCAAATGTTTGAACACTTGCGTCGAGACAAACATTTTTCTCGTGAGCGACAGTTAATTGCAAATCAAATGACAAATAAGTTTTGAAACACTAGTCGACCAGAACTTGTAGATCAGATAAGGGCTGGTGTTTAGAGTGTAGTTCCCTTACAGTGAACTTATCGTTATAATGAACGCCTTAAACGACAGTATGTTTAGTGGTATTCACTATACAATGAATGCTAAGATTTTTCACTAGACTTATGCCACACTTCATGCAAATACGAGTATATATTAATCGACAGGTCTTAACACTCGTTAATGAATTGTTTGCAATTAATTAATTGTAATATTGTTTTATAATTAATATTTGTATTGATCAGTAATTTTAGGCATTTTCTGTGTATACGATTTTACCGATCATAGCCCCGTCCGGCCAGTAGTGGCCGATATAGCGGTCATAATATTGTCATTAATCGCCAGAAAATACCCAATTTTCTCGATGATTATGGACTTTGCACTTTCATCCCAGAGCCCATCCCTTTCCCCCATCCCATCCCATTCCGTCAATTTTATTTAATTTGTATATTTTATGTGAACCTGAAATATATTGCA